TTGGTCGGATGCATTAGGGGTATTGGCTTCATCTGCTGCTTTCTCGGCCGGAGGATCCCGATACTGCTCGATAAATTTTGTCAGGACCGTTTTGATCAACTGCCATACATTTGCCTCCGTACGATCGTCCGGAAATTGGAATGATTCTTGGTCTTTCCTATTAGCATAGCTCTCGGAAATCTTCTGGCATTTGCTCGCCCAAAGCGGTTTCTCAAAGAATTTCTCGTAAAACCCCGTGACATCTTCAAAGACAGTTCCCGTCAGTTCCTTTCTCAAAGCATCTTTGAGTATGTCCATAGTTTCATCAGCACCTTTTAGTTGCGCCGTTGTGTATATATGTTGCGCGTCGGGATGATGGGATGAAGATGCGTCATGCTGTAGCGATGTGATAGGCTCAAGGTTGTCGACGAGATCAGTCAGATGACCCCATATTTCGATATCGGCAGAATTAAAAAGAATCGAGGTTACAAGAGGTTGGAAGTAAGAAATTTGGATTGCCTTTGAATTCAGTCGCTTGTAGATTGAAAAGATCCGGCCGGACATGTTCTTTTCTGCGGTGGAGGGAACTGAACAATCTTGTGCATAAAATCCAAGAGAACTTAGCAGGTTAATCAGAAGATCAGATACGGGTATGAGATCAATGACTTCGTTAGGTTTTTCTCTATTGAACTTGAAATTTTCAAAATCACAATTTCGGCGGAAATGTGATGAAATGTTTTCGAGAGGATATTCAATGAAATGGTGGACGTCTTCATCGGAGATTGTCATCTTGACGAGTAGGATGCTGTTGGTGATTGCTGAAAAAGAATGATGGCGATGTGAATAGGATATGAATGAGATGTCAAGGACGTTGGATAATGGATAATGGATAATGGATAGAGGAGCTGGACGGAGTTGTGGTGACTTTATATTAATTTACAACATCAAGAGGAGAATCGAAATTGGAATTCGACAGTTATGTGGACAGCGACTGCGCATTCTTCAACGCCTTTCAAATCTATCAAGTAAAAATGAAGATCATTATTTTGGGTAATGCAGATCATCTTGCGAGCGCGGCACTTGGATGGCAAGGCTATTCACGTAACCCCTGCCTGCATCTATAGTCCTTTGTACCCGATGGATAACCCTTACGATTAACAGGAGTAGATACTCCGACACAAAATCATGAATGTTGTAACGAACCATGATTTGATTTATCGTTTGCCAATCGGTTCATACAACGGAAGCGCCTGAATTGACCTGCTCGTCGTGCCATACTAATGGGATGTCATTGTTGCGGAGTGGTGGCCAGTAATAGCAATTATCCAGCATCTGTCATGCTGACTTATAGCGGGTAAATTGAGGCATAATTTTTATTTGAAAGGCTATGAAAACAAATACGATATGTTCTAGCTTAAAAATGACCTACAAGGTTGACGACCAAGTACCATTGGTTACGGGTCTTCTGAACTAGTTACTAGCTCTCTTCTGATACTAATCGAGTATCTTCTCACCACTCGGCGAAGGTACAGGTGATCGAAGCTGCATGATAACATTATCATGAAGTTTTTTTTGAAATACTTCAGGCAACGTAATTGGTTTGTTTGTTTGTTTTCTATTTTTAGTGCGTTGGGGCTTCAAGATTGATTTAGGTCCCTACTACTCACTAAACTACCTAGAGGTATAGACGCCAGTGCTTACTGCCCTGGTGGCTTCGCCCTTGCTACTTCCTAATTAGGTTTGCAAAGCAATTCTCTATCTACATGATTGCGTGAAGAGTCCAACGCCACTGGTTTCCGGGTACGGAGAGTGAGTGTTTATTGTCCTAAAAAGTCTATAACTATGTAAGGACATGTAGGTCCTTTCCGCCTACAGGCTGGGAGTATCTATGCCTCCTTCACAACTTCTTTCCAGCAGTAATACCCCCACAGCGTGAGGGGCTAGCACTTTCGGTCAATGCACGAAAACAATGCCACAATTAAATGTTTATATTTTCTATAAATAAATTACGAGCGGGACACTATGGCTCCTTATAACTACAATGCCTGTTCCAGATACCCTTGCCCTTTACATGTGATCTGATAATACTCCTGTATAGTGAGAAAATTTACAAACTCGTTTGAGCCTTCAAGATAAGGATAAGCCCTATAGCCTTAAACAGCCCATCCAGAGCCCAGCCGGGCGCAGCCCGTTACACACAGGTCATCATTCGAGTACACACTAAGAGGATCCGTTATCCCGTCATTATCTACCCTCTCCAGCCAACTAAATGATGGCCATTTGCGGGTGTGTAGCTGCAGTGATAAGTCTCAAAAACCACTGGGTGCAGGGCTCTCCTATCACGAAGAGGCCCGCCAGCCGGGCGCAGCAGACCTGTGTATACCTGAGAGCGTTTCTCAACCTTCCTAGCATCCTCCTTCCTCTTTCCCTGATTCATGCCGCAGGACAAATCGTAGGTCGTGAAAGGATGTCAGAAAAGACGTGGGGTTGTCGAGTAACTCATGTATTTCAGATGCCCTCCTGGCTAGTAGTTTCGTAATTTATGATTAGTAGGGACGACAATGTAGACGAGTCAAAATCTGCTTTTCTTGAGGGCGGAAGGGTCTTTTACTTTGCTTTCGTGGGCTTTTTGTTCGCCTGCCGGTGGGTAGCACATGTTGTGATATAACGAGGGCTTCTCTGACTACCGTTGTAGCGTTTGGTACCGCATTATCTCTCCTCATTCCCAGCATCATTATCGTCGTCTTTGTCGTCTTATGTGTTATTGGAAGCGTATCTTTGACGGAGGGGGAGATAACTCAGCTCAAAGTTGATAAGGTGTTACTCAATCTCGGCTCTGCAGACTCTACAGTGAGAGCTGGTGGTTCGTAGGGGACACCACTAACAGGTGTTGAGAATAGTCTCCATGCCGGATACGGAGTTTGTGTTGCTAGGTTAGTTCCAATTCTCGGTCTCGTTTACACCAAGCTACATCCTCACCCCAGAAGTTTCTAAAGTTATATTTCGATCACATTTTGTGGAGGTAAGAAACATATTATTAGCCAACGATATCTACCTTGCGTCTATCCTGTGGCCAGGAGGGCAAGACTGAACACTTGTTGGCGGTATCCTCTACGAACCTGGGAGTTAAATATTCTCCCAGAGCGAAATTCAGTCAAATTTCGAATTATCAAGGAAGTTGGCCCACGAGGCAAAAATCCAAATTACTCCACCACGTCGTTTTCCCGCTCCCAACGAGTTTGACGCCTACTTAAGTCTCATCAAGTCTACAAGTACGACCAAGTACATCCTCATCCCAATGACCATACCTCTATCCGACCTTCTCTGGCCTCAGTTAACCACCAAATACACGCCCACGCTGATATTTATACCCGACGGAGGAAGCAAAGCGTGACGCACAAATCTGGGGGATAGCTCTTTGGGATAGACGAGAGAGGGATCAGGACAAGTTCACAAGATAATGCAGAAGAGGGATATGTTTACGACGGGCGTGAAATTTCAAATTTTGGAATGGAAATTTATGAATTGAGCTTTGTGCGCGCCAAGACTTCGCTTGCGAGAGTGCAGCTAACACTATCAAAACAAGCAAACGATGGAAAGTGTTGTGGTCCGCCTCCTGGTGGTGCTCTCTGTTATAGTTTGAGTAGCCTGGACATCTACTCCACTTGGGAAGGAGACACCTCAGATCACATATCGCGCGGAGAAAAGTTGATAGATGACGGAGGCATGTCTGGATAACTCAGGGTTTTTGAGATGTTCCCCTGGGTGGGTATTCACGGATGAGGGTTGACTTGGGGTGATGAAAAAGCCGCCATAATTTCGCAGTGGTACTTGCAAATGAAATCCGAGGCATGAGTGCTCCTCTTGTAAATTGAGTCATCTTTTCTGTACTTTTCTCTGATATTGTGTCATAGCTATATAGCTGCATACGCAATTAAAATCTGATGCAAAAAAAAACCCCCCGAATTTATGTACCCTGTCGAATTCAGCGATAACTGGTATCTACTCCCTGACCGATTATACGCCCTATCTGAATCCACTACAAACTTGAAACCGTGGCCACAAAGTAGACGCAGGGCGGATATCGCTGGGGATTAGCATGTTTCTTTCCTCCACAAAATTTCATCGTAACATGATTTTAGAATCTCATGGGGTAGCGAAGTAACTTGATCTCAACATGACCGAGAATCGGAACTAACATAGAAACACAAACTCCGTACCCGGCAACCAATGGCGTGGGCTGAATTATTTCCGGAAAACTTGATCACAATGTTATCATGCAGCTTCTATCACCTTTACCTTCGCCAAGTGGTAATAAGATATTCGATTCGTATCGGTGAAATGCCAGCAACAAATTGAGGGGAGTCGTATCCAATGGTGCTCAGTCGTCAGCCTTGTAGAACATTTTAAAGCTAGAACATATCGTGTTTGTTGTCATAGCCGTAAAAATAAAAATTATGTTTCACTTTAAGCGCTATCAGCGAGCAAGCCAAGTGCCAGATAGTTGCCCTTACTGGCCACCACTCCGCAACCAGTACGTCGCATTAGTATGGGGCGACAAGATGTCAGTTTGGGCGGCTCCATCATGAAGAACAATTGGATGACGATGTATCAAACCATGTTACGTGAAAACCTTCATGATTTTATGTCGGAGTATCTACTCCTGTTAACAACAGGTATTATCCGTCGGGTACAAATTACTATAGATGCAGGCAGGGGTTACGTGAATAGCCATGCCATCCAAGTGCCACGCTCGCAAGATGATCTGCATTACCCAGAATAATGATCTTCATTTTTACTTGATAGATTTGAAAGGCGTTGAAGAATGCGCAGTCGCTGTCCACATAACTGTCGAATTCCAATTTCGATTCTCCTCTTGATGTTGTAAATTAATATAAAGTCACCACAACTCCGTCCAGCTCCTCTATCCATTATCCAACGTCCTTGACATCTCATTCATATCCTATTCACATCGCCATCATTCTTTTTCAGCAATCACCAACAGCATCCTACTCGTCAAGATGACAATCTCCGATGAAGACGTCCACCATTTCATTGAATATCCTCTCGAAAAAATTTCATCACATTTCCGCCGAAATTGTGATTTTGAAAATTTCAAGATCGACAGAGAAAATCCTAACGAAGTCATTGATCTCATACCCGTATCTGATCTTCTGCTTAACCTGCTAAGTTCTCTTGGATTTTATGCACAAAAAAGATTGGTTCCGTCGACCATCGAAAAAAACATGTCTGGCCGGTTGCTTTCCATCCATAACCGATTAGAATCAAAAGCTATTCACACCTCTTACTTCCTACCTCTTGTAACCTCGATTCTTTTTAATTCTGCCGATATCGAGATATGGGGTCATCTGACTGATCTCGTCGACAACCTTGAGCCTATCACACCCTTACAGATCGACGCATCTTCATCCCATCATCCCGACGCACAACATATATACACAACGGCGCAACTAAAAGGTACTGATGAAACTATGGACATACTCAAAGATGCTTTGAGAAAGGAACTGACGGGAACTGTCTTTGAAGATGTCACGGGGTTTTACGAGAAATTCTTTGAGAAACCGCTTTGGGCGAGCAAATGCCAGAAGATTTCCGAGAGCTATGCTAATAGGAAAGACCAAGAATCATTCCAATTTCCGGACGATCGTACGGAGGCAAATGTATGGCAGTGGATCAAAACGGTCCAGACAAAATTTATCGAGCAGTATCGGGATCCTCCGGCCGAGGAAGCTGCAGATGAAGCCAATACACCCATGACACTCAATGCACCCGACCAATCAAACGCATCCAAGAAGAGAAAGACATTTCCTCTGCGCGGACAGAAGTTCCTGACAACTAATGGATCCCAAATCAAGGGCGGCCCTTGTTTCCGACAAGTAGACTTTTTCATCAAAAGTCGCAGCCTCCGTCGCGGTACTCCCCACAGCTGGCGGGATATACAAGTCTTGGGAGAGATTACCAAGCTTCCCACTAGTGCGTGGATGGATAAGTTTCTCCAACTTGCTGTTTACATGCGGGAGGTGTTTACGGCTCAGCCATTGCGTAAGTTTGTGCATGGATTCCTTTTGTTGGACACCAAATTGCAACTGTGGGTGTTTGATCGGTCGGGCCCATACTCCACAGGCTTCATTGATATTGGTGAAAACCCTGAGGTGTTTGTATACGTCATAACGGCCTATATGATGATGAGCGACGAGGAGCTTGGGATCGATACATCGGTGCGACATGAAAGAGGGCAGACGATTATCACTGTCACGGATGCTAACACCCAAGAGCCTCGCACTCTAATTCTGGAAGCTGAGCCGTTCTTCGCACAGAGGGCGATCGTCTCCCGTGGCACAGCTTGCTACCGCGCTCTGGATGGGACGTACGTGGTCAAAATTTCATGGAGAGCAGTGGATAGGCTGTCTGAAGTGAACCTTCTCATGCAGGCACGCGACGTGCGAGGTGTGGCTCGGCTTATTGGCTCACGGGATGACTCGAAGATAAGTGAACTTCGCAAGGGTTTGAAAATCACGAGTGAGATGAAAAGAGACGTCCATCCAGACGACTCTCTTATGACAACAACCGTCGAGCCAATAGAGGCAGGTCCACCGATTCCGGTCCAAAGTAATGAGCAAAGGACATCTGAGAAGCGTAAAGACCGAGCCGAGGACAGTATTGGCGACGATGGCGACGAGAGAAGCAAGAGGATACGCGTGTCAGATATCGCAGGAGAAGCGCAGAAAAATGCAGCAGTGATTAGCGATCAAGGCAACGGAAATCCGACAGGCTCAGGAGAGGTAGCACCTGCGAAAATAGTGCGCCGCTCGACGAGAATCAGCTCTGGAGAGCCAGTCAAATACTTTGTCCAAACTCGAAAAAGCGGCCGATCCTGCAAGTCTGAGTCCAGCAAGTCGGGATCTAAAAGACGTCGAAACCCGGATCTTGCGCAAGAGAAACATTCTGCCGTGCCTGATCGTGAGTTGAAAAGGCTTCGCATATCGAGTACTGCCAGGGAAACGGTGTCTGGAGATGGAACAGCGCCAATCTCTACTCAGGTGGGCCCACTAACTTCTGCTCCTGGGGACCGAACAGGCGATGGTGCTGAAGCGACTCCTACTGTCGTGAACGATGGAGGTGTAGACGATCCCGGAACGCCAGAGCTGTCGATTGCCTATCGAGATCGTCAAAAGACATTCATTGCCACTGAACCTCGTGGTCGATCGATTGGCGAGGAAACAACAGCCCTTGACTTGTTGCAGGGTATCCGCGATGCGATCTTGGCCCATCAGTCACTTTTCAAGGAGGCTAGGATATTGCATCGGGACGTGTCTATTAATAACATTATACTGACCGATCCGGCTGTTAACAATGGTCGGTATGGGTTATTGATAGATCTTGACCTGGCAATATCTTTGAACGATGTGAATAGTGAACAAAATAGGCAGACAATGACTGGTACTATGGAATATATCGCCCTCGGAATATTGCAAGCGAATATTTACGAGACCGGCAAGGGGTATAAGCATACGTATCGACACGACCTAGAGTCTTTCTTCTACGTTCTCGTGTCAGCGTGCATCCGATTTGGCTGGGGGAACAAAAAGTCGGGCCACACTGATGTTTTATCGAAGTGGTACACAGGGACAGTCCAAAATATGTATTTGAATAAAAAAGAAGCGGTTTCTCATAAATATTTCAAAAAATGTCTCCTGGACCATTTCTCGACGAGGTACGACTGTGTCAAAGCACTAGTGACAAGATTGCGGATAATACTATTTGATAGATCAACGGGCGTCGATACAAGTACGAATCCCTTCGCAGATGAGGTTTATGACCTCATTCTTAAAGCGTTTGACGATGAAATCAAGGGGATCAAATGTGAGTGTTAATACCTAGTGTGTTATCAGACTGTTCATTAAGAATTACTCTTTACTAACTGAGATAAAATGACTAGTAGTCGAACAGCTTGCCAGATCTAGTAAGCGCAGGAGATGAAGCGGTTTCGGATCTGAAAGAAAGAATGCCGCTGACACCAAGAGCAGATACCGAAACACTGAGTGCAGAGGGCTAAAAGTTGAGAATGGGACATCGTCAACACGCGGTACTTTTATGAGCCGGCAAGTAGTCAAATGAATGTACTTCTTCTGACTATGGGACTAATAACGATCCGTAGATAACAAATCAATTTACTTTAACAATTCTTCATCGACAACAAATGTTGGTTGCTATATGGGATCAAAGTTTGTAGATTGAGCAAATAGACGTAAACATACACAAGTAAACAGATATGATATTAAATAATGTAATACTTGATGATCTTGGATTGTGTCTATTATTGAGAAAAATTTGAAACAAAAAGGTCAATGTTCTCTGATTAAAATTAATTTTTGAATGATGCGCTCATGCTTGATGACATTAGTGAGTAACATGACAAAAATTATCTAGAAGCAACAAGCATCAAGCCACGGAATGCATCAGATTTTAATTCAACACAGGTAAAGATCAGGATCTCTACAATGTATCGTTAATTTCGAGCTTTGTATTTAGCAAATTAGCTGACCAAAAAGCTACAGTCATCAATCAGCAGTAGAATTTTCTGACCATATCCACCCCTGAAAAAGAATGTGGATACGTGTTTTAGAAGTATTTTAGGCAACTGCATCGAAAACTACGGTCACCCCATGAGGAATTGATAGATGATGAGTACAAAATATGTGTCCCTTCATGTAGCTGTACCATTAATGTTTTTGAGGCTTCGAATCACTGCAAAGTGTCTCTTTCTAATTATTTAGTCAATGGGTTATAAGTGGCATTGCGTTCCACGAACGGTTTTTCGCCGTTTCGTTAATTATTACTATCTTAATTGACCGAAATGGGGGGAAATTTCTCAACAGCTGTCAGTGGTGTCCCCTACGAACCTCCAGCTCTCGCTGTCGAGTCTGCAGAGCCGAGATGGAGAAACAAAGTGATCACTTCGAAGAGGATTCCCAATCGCTTTCGCGGTCTGCTTCGTCTTCATCTCTCAACACATCTCCCTATAACTATTATCATGAAGCTAACCACGATCAGATCAGATGATAGGGTCGGAGCCCTACTCATCGCCAACACTTGATCATGGAGGAGGAGCCATCCGATGAGTTTCCGGAACGTACCCAGCACCCGATACGGAGATGGCGGATTGGATCAAGTCGACCTCGACTGTTACAAAGAAGGGAGATATAGATGAATATGCGCACCTCATGTGGTCCTGGTGTCAAGGCCTCGCCTGGCTAGGGCTACAGGGTTTTTGAGACTTTTCCCCGCGCAGGCAGTTACCATTGCTACCATTTTTGTTTTTTTTTGGGTAGAAGGCTTTGCGGAAAAGGTGGCCGAATTCGACGGATAAACACTGAGCTGAATGGCTATTCATCTAGGGGAATATATCAATGATCTTTCAAGTAACAAAAATTGATAGAAGCTCTGTACAAGGCGTGGCCAGGGTCAGAGAGGAGCCCAATTTGCTAGATAGTCATAGACTCAAGAAGTACAATAAATACACACATACTACCCCTTGCTTCATGGTCATGAAGCTCTCCAAAATCAGATAAGACGGTAGGATCGAGAGGCTTCTATTCAACCATTACACATGACCCTGGGGGAGCGGCCGTCCGATGAGCTACCGGAGCAAATTTGGCTCCCCTTGCGGCGATCATAAATTATGTCAAACTGGCCACTAATTCCACGAGGCAAGAAGGTATCGATCGATATACGCAAGTATGTATGTGAATTTCTTATACTGCTCTATTCCATTACTCTCTTGTACATAGGGCACCCCTCTGACTCATACCACACATTGTACAGTGCTTTTTGCCCCTTTTGTTCTTTGAAATATCATTCATATAGCGCCTATGATAGCAAGCCATCAGTTCAGTATTTATTTATGGAATTCAGCCGTCTTTTCCGTAGAACCTCTTGTACAAAAAAAAAGGTGGCAATGGAAACTGCGTGCGCGGGAAAAAGTCTCAAAAAACCTGTAGCCCTAGCCAGGCGGGGCCATGACACCAGGACCACATGAGATGCGCATATTCATCTATATCTCCCTTCTTTGTATCATTCGATGTCGACTTAATCCAATCCGCCATCTCCATATCGGGTGCTAGGTACGCTCCGGAAACTGAATACGTTGCTTCTCCTCCATGATCAAGTGTTGGCGATGAGAAGGGCTTCGGCCTTACCATCTAATTTGTTCGTGGATAACTTCATGATAGTGTTGATGGGGGGATACGCAGAGGGGTGAAGACGATAAAGATCGCGAAAGCGATTGGGAATCCCCGTCGAAGTGAGGACTTTTCATCCCAATCTCGGCTCTGCAGACTCGACAGCGAGAGCTGGAGGTTCGTAGGGGACACCACTGATAGCTGTTGAGAATAGTCCCCCTACCGCTCCTAGAACTTCAATTGCAAAGATAAGCATTTATTTGCGGCAATGCTTTCGGGCGTTCGCAGATATCATAGCCCGTGTTACAGGCTATTAACTTGTAGATGGGATCCGGAGTTTATCCGGCTCCTAGGAGTTGATTATGTCATCGATAAGCGAGACGACATGTAGGTGGTGATACCACTAGTATATACTTTACTCTCTAGACACAAAATAAACCTATTTTGGATACACTCGTGCGGACAGCTATTCACTCTGGTGCCATCCTTTCACAGCCCGTCACATTTTCCTGCTCATGATGACCAGACATTAGCTATACATTATATTGTCACGATGTCCAGTTTTTGGTAAGGCTCTAGCAGGGTTTTAAGTGTGCTAGTCAAGACAGTTTTGGCATAATCACATTCCATATAGGGGTTAGCCCCCACTTTGTGCAAATATTTGGAAAAATCGGTACGATGATTATTTTCTGGGTTTGGTCTGGTTTGAGTGAGTGAGTGTTTATTGTCCTAAAAACGTTTGGAACTATGTATGGATATGTAGGTCCTTTCTGCCTACAGGCCGCGAGTATCTATGCCTCGAGTAGTGTACTCCCTCCTTTGCCTCCCTCACGACTGCTTTACAGCAGTAATAACCCAACAGGTCTTCATTCGCGTAAACACTAAAAGGAGCCGGTATCCCGTCATTATTTCCCCCTCCAGCCGACGAAATGATGGCAATTTGTGGGTGTTTAGCTGCAGTGATAAGTCTCAAAAACCACTGGGTGCAGGGCTCTCCTATCACGAAGAGGCCCGCAAGCCGGGCGCAGCAGACCTATGTATACCTGAGAGCGTTTCTCAACCTTCCTAGCATCCTCCTTCCTCTTTCCCTGATTCACGCCGCAGGACAAACCGAATGTCGTGAATGGATGTCAGAAAAGTCTTGGTAGAGTGTGACTGTCGTGAAGCAGCCTAGCCTAACATCCAAAAGTCGTTAAGGACGCGGGATCGTCGGGTTACTCATGTATTTCTGATGCCCCCCTGGCTAGTAGATTCGAAGGTATAGATCAGTAGGCACAATATTTTAGACGAGTCGAAATCTGCTTTTCTTGAGGGCGAAAAGCTCTTTTACTTTGCATTCGTGGGCTATTTGTTTGCCCGCATTGGGTAGCACATATTGTTATATAACGTGGGCTTCTTTGACCGCCGTTAGTTTTGTTTTGTTCATTTACGTGCTAGTTAGAGTAACTACCTTCGCACTCCTACTGGAGCTTGAGCACGGGTAGGGCCGGG